TTGTTACAGAGAAGGGATAAAAGGAGGAAATGGGGGAACCACCCACCATTATTTAAATGAAGCACTTTCTTCCCTGCTTAAAGATATTAAGGCAATATCTGTAATTTCTCAGAAGACAGTCAGCAGCTCTAGAAGTCCATAGAAAGAGCAACCTCACTATGGCTTTGCTTCTAGAAGATCAACTAATTTTCCAGTGTGATATCTCTCGGCTTCCCTACAACTCAGAGTAGACCTCAGTTTATATAGATGCAGACACGGTAGCTGAGCCTCTCAGGAGGCATCTTGCTCAAAGCCTTAATAGATGGATGTTCCCCAAATCTTAATTCCAGACCGTCTCACAGGACCCTGGTGGGAGGGGGGCGGAAAGAGTGCACACCCATCTTCCATTGACTAGATGGGATCCAAAAATGGATAAGGGAGAGGTGCTAGACCTAATGGATTTTTACAAGCCAAGTAGATAGGGGCTGAACTGAAAACATATGAATAATTTGCTATAGCCTGGTTTCTGAGATATGAAATTTTCCAATATGCATGCCATCAGTTAGATTATAAGATCCTTGGAGAGAATGAGCATCCCCCAAGTACTAAACATACAGTAAGAACTTACTAGACAATAGAATGTTTAGACATAGGAATGCCCCTTAGAGATCATCTAGCTCCACTGTATCAAATTACCCTGCAATCACTTTCTTGTTGATTTGTCGGTCTCCTCCACTTGAGTATGAACTTCTCTGGGGCAGAGTCCTTGACTTATTCATTTTTGGGGGAGGGGGGAGGTGTACTACCCAACACTAAGCCTGACCATTAAAGGCATTCAGTAAATGTTTGATAAATGAATAAATGCACACATAAAATCTCACACAAGATGTGAAAGAGACAGTGAGTAATCCTTCTCTCCAGATCTGGAATTAAATGTCACTTCCTCAAAGAGGACTTTCTTGCTCACTGGCACTCACTGATTGCTTCGCAGAACTTCTCAGTTTACATTTGCTTTGTTTACTCTTTTTTTATTATTATTCAAGTATAATTAACATACAGTGTTATATTAGTTTCAGGTCCACAATATAGTGATTCTATAATTCTGTGTATTTCTCAGTGCTTATCATGATAAGTGTACCATATCTTCACCGCTTTCCCCTTCACCGCTTTCCCCTTCACCGCTTTCACCCATCCCCCCACCCACCTCCCCTCTAGAAACCACCAGTTTCTTCTCTATACTTAAGAGTCTGTTTTTTTCAGTTGTTTCTCTTTTTTTTTCTTTGTTTCTTAAATTCTGCATGAGTGAAATCATATGGTATTTGTCTTTTTCTGACCGAGTTATTTCACTTAGCATTATACCCTCTAGATCCATCCGAGTTGTTGCAAATGGCAAGACCTCTTTTGTTATGGCTGAGTGATATTCCATTGTGTATATATCACATGGACACTTGGGCTACTTCCCATATCTTGGCACTTGTAAAATGCTGCAATAAACATGGGGGTGCATGTATCTTTTCGAATCAGTGCTTTCATTTTCTTTGGATAAATGCCATATAATCCAGTAATTCCAGTACTGCATTGTTTACTTTTCAACTGTCTGCTCTTCAACTGGAATGTAAGTTTCAAGAAGTTGGAGATCTTCTATATCTTGTTCAGTGTTGTACTCAATGCATAGTGCTAGCAAAGGGCTAACATGTAGTAGGTCCCCAATATTTGTGAAATAAAAGAATGAGTGAGTGGAGCCAGAAGAAAGTAAAGCTAAAATAGAAGACTCAGATCTGTGAAGGGAGCAAGTCTTGGGCCAACTCCACCTGCCCTGGGGGCTCTTATATTCCCAGAACAAAGCAGCTTCTAGCCCTATTTCATTCCTTCCCACTATCCATGGAATGGGGATAGAGTCTCTGGCTTCAAATCTTTATTTAACTCTCCATACTCCAGTAAATTTTGTTGGATTGAATTGTGACCCAAGCTCCCCAGGATTAATCAGATAAACCCAGCCAATGAGTTAGCTATGAGTTTTTACCTCTTCCCTAATTTGGTGTTTTAATCCCCTTCTGTCTCCAGAAGTCCCTAAAAGGAGAGCTGGAAAAAAAAAAAAAATCAATAGGGTTTTTCCAAACCCCTGAGTTCTATCCTTTCCCCTATCCACTTTGACTCTCCAAATTCTGCAGTTCCTCCCACCACACAAGCAGAAAAATGTGAACTGGTGAATGTGAAGACTTCCTCACCAGCATCGGCTCACAGGTTATGGGAGAGTCACACCCTGATTGATGGAGATGGGTTCCAGCAACCTTTTGCCTTGTTTACTTGATTTATTACCTGTGTCAAGGCGGTTCTGGGAGAACCACTGCCCCAGCCTAAGGGAAGATCTCTAGCTGCTGAAACTTGCTCACTCCATTCTGCCACCATCCAGGTTTACCCACTCCCTCTCTATCCGTGGTTTGCCTTCCGCAGCTTGCTGCTAGGGGCTGGAGGGCTCGGGGGGCTTCTTCTGTTGATGTTACTGGTATTGAGTGTTATTTGTCTTTCTCCTAATGTAGAACAACAAATAGAACAAGGAAATGAAGAACAGTTGACAATCCTATAAGCCACTCATCTTTGATAAATTTCAAAGAGAAAGTGGAAGCAAATAAACAACCACCCGGCAAAGAAATTTTTTTTTTTAATTCTTATTTTAATCCCCATACATTACATCATTAGTTTTAGATGAAGTGTTCCATGATTCATTGTTTGCGCATAACACCCAGTGCTCCATGCAGAACGTGCCCTCCTCAATACCCACCACCAGGCTAAGCCACTCCCCCACACCCCTCCCCTCTAGAACCCTCAGTTTGTTTTTCAGAGTCCATCGTCTCTCATGGTTCGTCTACCCCTCCGATTTCCCCCACTTCATTCTTCCCCTCCCGCTACCTTCTTCTTCTTTTTTTTTTCTTAACATATACTGCATTATTTGTTTCAGAGGTACAGATCTGAGATTCAACAGTCTTGCACAATTCACAGCACTCACCAGAGCACATACCCTCCCCAGTGTCTATCACCCAGTCACCCCGTCCCTCCCAAGCAAAGAAATATTTGATGCACGCTGAGGATGGTAATGGTGATCCAGATTAGTACTGGCCAATAGAAATATAAGGTGAGCCATGCATGTAATTTAGAAACTTTAGTAACCACACTAAAAACTAAAAACAAAAAAAAAAAATGTGATTAATTTTAGAATATATTTTATTTAACTTAATATACCCAAAATATTATCCTAGCAAACACAGCGCAGATCTAGATAGAAATGTCTCTTGTCCTTTTATGAGTGGGAAGGTTAGAAGATAAAGAAAGAGATTAATAAAGACGGTAACTTTAGATTATGATAAATGCTAGCAGCAAAATAATGGTGCTGAGCTAGCAACTGAGGAGTAGGGATGGGAAGTGTTGCTACCTAGATAAGGAAGTCTTCTGGGGCCTCTCACAGAAGAAGCCTTCGGATGTGTACCTGCAACCTAAAAATGGACCAGCCAGGTGAAGAAGTGTGCGAGAGCGATCCAGGCAGAGAGAACGGTAAGAACAGAGGCCCCAAGGCATCCGAATGCTTGGCTGGGAGTGTTCCCCAGTGTTGCCCGGGAACAATGATCGCGGAAGAGGGTGCTGTGGGAAGGCTTAAGGGGTGAGCCAGAACCAAAGCACGTGGGGCTTGCAGGCCTTGTCACAGAACTTGATGTAATTCCAGGAACAATGGAGAGCTGATGAAGGGATTCAAGCAGGGACGTGCTGTGATCCAGTGTGCAACTGTGAAAGAGTTCTCCCTCTTCTGCCTGAAGAATGAATAAGAAAGCAGCAAGAGAAGATGCACAAAAACTCAGAGGAGGAGGAGTAGGTTATCTGGTTGACCAGGTGAGAGAAGGTAGAGGCTTGGCTGGGGTAGGATAGTAAAGGTAAACAGGTGTAAGGGACTTCAGGACACACGTTGAAGGTGGGACGGATGGACTTGCTCACAGACTGGCTATGAGGGGTGAGAAGGAGAGAAAACATCAAGAACGTCACCTACAATTTTGTCTTGAGCACATGGCTTGCTCCCCCCTTCCTCACCCTTAGCCCCAGCTTTTATAACCCACATCCCAAGAATGTCTGGTCTCCCTGAGACTTCAGCCAGAAAACCAGCTTTACCAGGCATTGGACAGGAATTTGTCTCCAGGATTTCAAACCAGCAGATGCACCCCTCCTCTATGTCCGCTTATGCTTATGTCCTCCTCAAGTCGGTAAAGAAATTTCGAGCTCCTGTGCCAGGACCACATTCATGGTGTGGATTTCGAGCTCCTGTGCCAGGACCACATTCAAAGTGTGCCTGTGTACTTGGGCCCAAGAAGTGCTGTTAAGGCAGTCCTATTTAAGTCACTCACAGCATTGGGCAGGTCAATCAGCCTAAACTGGCATGTGAATTTGTCCCACTGATTGGAAAAAGGGTAGAAATTTATTCTAGGGGTGAGTGTCAACCAACAATACACTCAAAAGAAGGAGTCAGAAAAGCAAGCTTTCTGTGCACTGCGGTAAAAAAAACCACTATAATAACAAAAGGTACTGGTTTAGTTTAAGATGCCAATAAGATCATAAGGCATGAATTTCCTAACAGCACTTCCTTATTTACTCTAGGCAAATGTTGAGGCTTAGTACACTTGATACAAAGACCGGACTGTATATGAAATTCACATAAGCATTTAAACCTTGTCATGGCTTGAAAACTAAGGGAGGGTTTGAGTGTGCATGTGTGGGGTCAGGGGAGTGGGGGCGGGGTGTCAGTGAGCTGGGGTAACAGGCAGAACATACAACAAGGGTGAACCGACGTTGGCAAATGCCTGACTCCTACCCTTTCTCCCTGCTGCCTGGGCCGAGGGGAATAGGAGGCATCTGCACGGCAACTACACAAAATAGAACTAATAGCATCTTTGCTGCCTCGAAGTAAGTATCCCCAGTGGATGGCATTTCCCAAGAGAACTGAATACTATGCCTAAGGGGGCCTGAGTTTAAATCCTGGAATTGACTGAGTCACAGTAACTGTGAAGGAAGAATCTCCTGTTCATGTAAGCTTCTCCCCGCACAAGACAGCACCCCCTCTCTGCTCCCCAGCCCAGGCACCGAGGCTGCACAGACTTAAGACATGGGAGGACACTGTCCCTAATGTGTTTCACGCTGTGCCTTGATACCTTCTCGGCAATGGGCATAAACCTTGGGGCTGGCTTTCCGGGAATAGTCAGTAGTTCTCGGGGAAGGAAGCTTGACTTTCTCTCCACCTGTTTCCTTTTCTGACACTTGTCCATGCCTTTACTGGGGGCCTGAAGAGGGCAATGTTGTGCAAAGGAGACCCCCAAAGCTAATTCATTGCTAAGATAGAATACCATGACCTGAAGCCCTTCCCCAAGAGACTCTCAGGGGAAAGGGATGTCACCTCCCCACCAGACCCAAGATATGAATGGATAGGAGGGAGAAATGGAGTAGAAGATGAAGGTAGGAAGAAAAGTAATGGAAGAGAGAAGCCATTAACTGAGTCCAGATCAGTCAGGCCCGTTTGGACAACCAACAGGACTTTAGATCCTGACCTGGTAACCTTAATTGTACGCCATGATTAACCTTTCATTATTCACCCTCCGAGTGATATCCACAACCTTACCCAATAGCTTTTTCCCCCTCCCGTTTACTTGTGTTTTGTTTTCACTTCAAGATACTACAACCATGCACTCATATTTAATTGACAGAGTCTTTTCTCCAAATCAGAACTGGCCCTTCAGTCGGTGGTATGACACTTTCCCTAGAATTAGTAAGGACTGAAAATTCTAATCAACTGACCCCACAGCATTCTGATAATATTGTGTGCGCATGCATGTGTAATTTGAGCAAGGCCGTTGGATCTAATCAGTGCCTGGAGAGCAGAGACCCAGAAATCAGATTTCCTAGATTCAAATTTCAACTTTGCCATTGAGTTGTAAGTCTTTCAACAGGTCCCCTTCTTTCTACTGCCCACCTCCTTAGGTGAATTTAGGACAACACCAATTCAAAAATAGCAACAATTCTAGTTGCACAATGTTACATTGTTCTGGGAGTTTATTAAAGATTGAAAATGGGGCGGGGGTGGGGTGGTATAAATCACTTGCATTTTTAAACAATAGAGGTGCACATATAAAAATCCACTCAGCAATGAATAAAAACCTGATCTGAGAGAAAATGCTGAACAATATCCTCATTATGAGAATCCACAGACTTCTAAAATTTGCCAGCACTTCTTGGTCGTTTGTCTTTCTGGAGCTTTCAGATCATTTATTCTTGCTCAAGCAGCAGTGGTAATCAGGAGGGAGATTCTGCAAGGGGAAGTACTTTGCTGTTCCTGGCCAAACAGACTTGTCTTTCATGTCTAGAGACCTGGAATTATCCTGCCTGCCTGGGAAGCAGGGAGGAATGAAGGGTTAATCTAATCAGCCTGACTGCACAAAGCAGCCATATTCAAGGGAAGAAGGGTCAGAGGATTTAGGGACTTAACTACACGCCTTCAAATTACAACTGAGAAGTTAAACAGTCTATTTCTGAAACTGAGTCTGTTTCTGGAGGGGTTTGACTTTCTTAGGAGAAGAAAGGTAAAAAATAAAGTCCGGAGAGAAATGCAGTCTAGTTAGATCAGTAGTTCTTAACTTGTTTTTTTTTTTCTTTCAGTCTGTCATAAGGTGTTATTTCATTTGTTATTATTTGTTTATTGATTATTATTTGCCTCTCTCACCATAATGTAAATGCCATGAAGGTAGGGATCACATTTATTTTATTTCTATTATATTCTCTGGACTCAGTTGAGTACCTCACATACAGTAAGCGCTTGGAAAATATTTGCTGACTGAATGAATCATGAATTACTTAGCCTTTTTTTTTTTTTTTTTTTAGGTCCTGGACTTCTTTTTGAAAATTGTGTAAAAGTTGGGAGACCTGGGTGGCTCAGTCGGTTAAGCATCTGCCGTCGGCTCAGGTCATGATCCCAGGGTTCTGGGATGGAGCCCTAGGTCAGGTCGGTCAGACTGCCCACTCAGCAGGGAGTCTACTTCTCCCTCTCCTTCTGCCCCTCCCCCACTCGTGCTCTCCCTCTCTCTCAAATAAATTCAATCTTTAAAAAGAATTGGGTAAGGGGCGCCTGGGTGGCTCAGTCGGTTAAGTGGCTGCCTTCCGCTTGGGTCATGGTCCCAGGGTCCTAAGATCGAGCCCCACATCGGGCTCCCTGTTCAGCGGGAAGTCTGCTTCTCCCTCTTCCTCTGCCTCTCCCCCTGCTTGTGAACCCTTTCTCTCTTTCTCTGTCAAATAAATAAATAAAAATCTTAAAAAAAAAAAGAAGAATTGGGTAAAAGTTATAACTCCTCTCTCCATAAAACATATATTCATATATATTTTTATTTTGTGTTGCTATTTATAAATATTTATAAATTTATATTTTATTTATAGTATTTATAAAATATTTGTATTTTACATTTTATATATTTATATATACATGTAACTCTTCTCTCCCTTATACATATATAATGTGCGTATATATATGTGTGTGTGTATAGATACAGATACAGATAAATTGAATCTTCCCATGCACAGACTCCAATTTCCAAAGGATATTCCTGCTTCACCTGTGACACTTAGTATCCCTCAAAAGCACATAAACAAAAGCTCTAATGTCACATATTCTCCCGAAGAGCTCTTCTGAAAAGGACCAAGATTGAGGCTAGGGTCTTCTAACTTCCGGGCTAAGACATCTGAAATTGGCCCTTGGAGATGCCCGAAGGATTCTGGGTCACCTTTGGACACATGTCCAGTAAAAGGAGATCCTGAGTGAAAGGGAACAGGAAAAAAAAAAATCCTAAATTTGCGGCTTGGAAGACTTGAATTGAAACCCAGCTCTTGCCCTTCCTAGCTGTGGTCATATCCTAGCCAGGTGCTGGACCTCTCGGGCCTTAGTTTTCTCTCCTGTGAATTCAGAGGTCAGGCCTAGGCCCAACCTCCTATAATATAATAACTTGTGAACCAGGCCAATGATGGCAGGACTTTAATGCAACAGGATGCCGCTGTGTAGTTCAAATGTCTGTCTCACAGCCATACTCCCTTACTATAAAAAGAAAAGAACAGGGGCGCCTGGGTGGCTCAGCTGGTTGAGGGTCCGACTCTTGGTCTCCGCTCAGGTCATGATCTCATGGGTGGTGGGACTGAGCCCCACAGTTGGGTTCCATGCTTATCAGGGAGTCTGCTTGAAAATTCTCTCCCTCTACCCCTCCCCCCCTTGTGCTCATGCACTCTCTCTCTCTCTAAAATAAGTACATCTTAAAAAAAAAAGAACACAGTTTATGCTGAAGCAAGAGAGATTCCAAGCAAGGTATCAGGAAGAACCCTGAACTCTCTAAGGATTGTCAGACACTGAGTCGCCATCTGGGTGGTTGTGGACTCTCCTTCTGAAGGTGTGTGGGGATTGCAGTGGACAGCTCTCCGATGATCTCTTCACAGTATGGCCAGGAAAGGAGTCCTCCAGTCAGATTGCCTCCAAAATCCAGCCACTCTTTTGATTCTAGGAAAAACCTTGGGCTTCTCTTTGTCACAAATAAGATCTTAAATGGAAAATTCCTGGCAATTTTATTCTAATGGAACAGAATACTGGTTGCCTTGAGGTGTTTTTCTTCTAGTCAGTTCTTTAGTACAAAAAAAGCGTGAAAGAGGGGCACCTGGGTGGCTCATTCAAGTGTCTGATTCTTGATCCCAGCTCAGGTCTTGATTTCACAGTCATGAGTTTGAGCCCCACATTGGGCTCCACGCTGGGTGTGGAGCCTACAAAAAAAAAAAAAAAGAAAGAAAGAAAGCTTGAATGAAAGCAACATTGATTGAGCCCCTACCTGGCAGTCTTTTCACTTGCTGTCTTGTTGAATCCCACAGCATCGCTGCAAGGCACATTTTTTTCCCCTACCAATTCTACAGATAAGAAAACAGACACTCAGAGAAAGAAACTAACTTGCAGTCGCACAGCTAAGAAATAGAACTTAAGTCCAGGTCTATCTGGCCTGGAAATTCTTTCCACAACACCTGGCTGCCAGGAGGGAGGAGCTAAGTGTTGGTTGGGCACCAAAGGGTTTCCAGGCTTCCGGGAGTGCTCTAGACAAAGCATAGTTTACTTACCTGCTCGCTGAGGGACAATGTACACTCTGTCTGGGGCCTTCTCTGCTTAATCTTTTCCCAAGTTACTATCTCTGAGTATCTTCCTTAAAACAAGGGACTTTTAAACCCTAGTACATAGTTGGAATTCAAACAGACATCTGAAAAAACAAAGAGACAATGAATTTGTGAAGAGATGCTCAACCTCCTTAGAAATCAGGGAAATGCAAATTGAAATCACAGTGAGAGCGAGTTGACACCCACTATAAAAGCAAAAATTAAAAAGTCTGACAATACCCTATGGCAGTGAGGATATTGAACACAGGGAACTCGTGCACACCAACAGGAGAATAATATTTGCACCATCATTTTGGGAAACAGTGGGTTTTATCTTGTAATGCTGAACATCCCTATAACCTTTGACCCAGCAGTTGTTGCATATATTCGTCTGTATGTATCAACCATTTAATAGTAAAAATATCTTAATATAAACAAATTAGAATATAGTCTATGATAGACATAGACGTTGAGGGACCATGGGACTAAAGGGGTTCACAGCAGCCTTACAGGAAGAGGTTCCCAGTAGGGAGGGGTCAACCATGGAACAGAGTAACAGGTGGCCTCCAAAGGGACTGAACTCACCAACTTGGTCTCATTCATTATGACGATGGAGGCCAGATACGATACAGGATGTCCAGGAAATTTGAATTTCAGATCAAACAAAGAATAGTTTTTTTGGTGTTAAGTAGGTTCCACGCAACATTTGGGACACACTTATACTAAAATTATTTAAACTAAAAAATTATCTATCTGAAATTCAAAAATACTTGGTACTCTTTATTTTCATAGGCTAAATCTGGCAACCCTAATAATGAACCTCTTATTATTTGTAAGGGCAATGTCTTTTGACCCATAAATCAGAGCCAATTATTCAACATATAAAGAGAACCATTTCATAATAGTAGGAGTTTCATAATGGGCATAAAATAGTACTGTTAAGAGCTTGAAGTATGAAATCAGGCAAACCTGGTCTTGAGCCCTAGCTTTGCCCCTTGCTAACTGTGGTCTAGAGTAAGTTATCCCTCATTTCCATGTGTTATTCCTCATTCGGGCTTCTATGAGTATTACATGAGGTAAGATGCATGGCAGGTGCTCAGCTCACACCATGATGTGCCCTTGATAATATGAATCGCTCTTATCCATTCACTGGAGTTCCTTTAAAACTAAACACTAGAGGGGCGCCTGGGTGGCTCAGTCGTTAAGTGTCTGCCTTCGGCTCAGGTCATGATCCCAGGGTCCTGGGATCGAGCCCCGCATCGGGCTCCCTGCTCGGCGGGAAGCCTGCTTCTCCCTCTCCCACTCCCCCTGCTTGTGTTCCCTCTCTCGCTGTGTCTTTCTCTGTCAAATAAATAAATAAAATCTTTAAAAAAATAAAAATAAATAAAATAAATAAAACTAAACACTAGAATAGATGGATAGCATCTTGGGGGCCAGGACATCATCTTCATTTCTGGGATATTTAGGACAAAATCAGAGGCAAACACTCCATCCCCCCGCCCTTCCTCCCCAACAATTCACTCCTCATCTGAGAGCTAAAAGGCAACAGAAGAGACCAGATGACCTTCAAAGTCCTCCCAACACTAGCATTTGGTGGTCTTTATGTCCTTAGCAATCCCATGTCCCTGACAGCCACCCTTCTTTATAACTGTAAGTGAGGGATGGGTCAAGTCGGATTCTATCCAGCATGAGTTGGTCCAGTCACGGGGACATACTCCGAGGCTGTGAACCATATATTCACACACTTACTCTGGGAAATGCAATTTCCCTTGCTTTCTCATTCTTATTCATAGCTCAAGTCATTACTCTGGACCCAGAGAACACAACATATGTGATTCCATGAAGACATGGCCAAGATTTAGAGATTTCAGAGACCCCAACAGCAATACACCATCACCCGCAGAACTCCCTGTGTCCCTCCATGTCGCTTTCCCTTTCCTTGCTATTGTCCTCACTGTCTCTATACTCCATACTTTCTCTCTTTCCGTGTCTATCCCTATATGCCACATTAAAGATTATTTTTATTAGCATAGCACAGGTATAATTAACAGTTTCTGTCATTACATATTAACTTTAAGAACATGGTTTATAAATAATTGATACTTGATAATATTGCCGATCATAAAAATGTCCGTATAATAGAATTTCCCTCTGTCACAAGAATAAGGAACAAAGTATCTAGAAGAGACATTATCATGCTCTCCATCAGTGGCTCCATAGCATCAAATGACATAAAACTATGAACAGGGAGATCGCCCTTATAGGAGGAATGAGATGGGATTTGTTTCAGCGGCAGGCCCTGAATTACACAGTGGCCATCCTTTGTAGCAATCTACTTTTCGCAGCATGGCTGAGGGGCCCAGAATTTACACCTGGCCATCACCTCATGAGAGATGGAGTTACCCAGGACTTCAAGTGATGTCCAAGTCCTGATATGTCTCCCCAGCCGGCGGTATTCCACACCCTGCTCAGTTTCCCTCTCTCTCCATCATAAAAGTCTCATACAGTCTAATTTTGGCAAACTAATTGTGATTCAGTGTTCAGAAAAGCATCAAGCATGTTTTCAGTATCTTTAGTTTTAGGATAAGCAGCCTTTCTCATCTCTACCTCAACCCACGAATACAACCAAGGTGGCCAAGTCCTCACCAGCATGCTGATGGATGGATCCTGCTAAAGGTTCCAAAAAGTGCCATATCACGCTATGCTTCAGAGAGAGCTCCAGCAGAACTCAGGAAATCCCATAATAAATACCGCTCACTTGCAGCATGAAAGGGTAGAAAGAGGCAGTGCTGTGGTTAAGAGTCCTGAGCAGGAGCCTCCCCTTTGGGCCTCCATCTTCTCTGAGGGGTTGGGTCAGAACAATCCCTAAGGTCGCTCCTTGTTCGACATTCTGTGATGTGCACCGTGTCATGGGAAAGGGAGTGCTCCCCTTTTACTCCCAGGTGCAGATTCTAATGGCTTTCTATTGTTACCTCTCTCAAAGGAGTGATACTTTGTTGTCCTTTCCCTTTTCATTGAAAAAAAAAAAAAAGAAAAGGAAGGAAGGAGGGAGGAAGAAAGGAAGGAAGGAAGAAAATCTTTTGAAAACAAACAATTAAAACCACAGGACAAAGCCATGCTTTTTAGAGTGGCTCGGGGGCTGGGCATGGGGGATAGAGTGGCCTCTCTGTGATGCAGGAGCTCTGTAAGTGGCCCCCCATCCCAGGGCCATGAGTCTTTGACCTCACTTAGTTATCAGATCCAACTTGTTTATTCAAAGTGAAATGTGGGACCCAGACAACTTGCCAGGTGACATCAGAGGTCTCCAATGGATCAGGAGATAAGACACCACATCCTTCCCAGCCCCTGCGCCAGAAAGATGTGGGCCTCTTGACTTCTGCTTCCTGACCTAAAAATACCATCATTACAGTTTCATTAGAATGAATAATGAAAACATCATCCATTAGCCCCAAATTGGTGTTTCGTTCAAAGAATATAAGACACTGAGAAGTGTTTGATTTAAGGAAAGGCTGAACAATCCTTCCAAACACAGGAATCTTTGAATGTCCCCCCTCTTCCCACCAACAGTCAGATGTGGAAAGCAGACCTTGCTGAGCCACGTGGGGAGAAGCTTCCTCCTTGTTTCCATCACCACAGTTAGACAAACGGCCCCGGACTGCAGTGACTACAGCAATGTTAATCATTACTGGAAAATGAAGACAAAGTCACTTAGCCATGGGATCTAGGCAACCAGGGGTGCAACATTCAAATCCACTTAGTTCAAAAGGATTGCCCGAGGAAATTTCCACTTGATGCTCACTAGGCCAGGGCTTTCCTGGCTGCCTATCCCCTACTCCCAGAGCTTCCTCCTCCTCCTCTTCTGCCCATCCTCACTGCCCCTTTAAAGAGCAGCCCCCATGCCCCACCCAGACAGCAACTAATACCGTACCTCCAGGCAGCATCACATCTGGAAGGGAAGAGAACAGCAATGGTCATTTGAAGATGCTTCCTGTCCTACCGATCTGGTGATTGAGGCTAGAAGCAGCTGTGTGTGTGTGTGTGGTGTGTGTGTATCTGATTGTTCTCGCATGCCCCCGTGAAGTTTCCATCCTGAACAAAACAAAACTCCTCCCTTTGAAGAGAGAAGGTATCCAAAGGCAGCGCTGCTCTAAATATGTGCAGCAGAGAAGGTCATAAGCAAAAATGCTCTTCGGCCTTATTTCCAGAGACTGAGTTGAACAATAAAAACCTGATTTCTTGCCTGCAAGACTTCTCCCACATGCGCAGTGAGTCTCCAAGATGGGGCTATGGCTTTCAGCGTCCTCTTATTTCATTTGACCATGGAACTCTTTCATCATGACGTGACTCTATGGAACTAATAGTCTTCAGAATACACTTTGGGAAAAGCTGTCTTTGGATAAAGATAAGAATTTCTCTTTTTCACACTTTTTTTTTTCTCATTAAACTTTTGTTTTAATGGGTCTCAAAATTCTGTGACAGATTTTTGGTCAAGTTGTTTCCATTAAAAAGTACTGATTTTAAAAACTAATAACTTAAAACTACCACACACACACACAAAAAACACGTGGTCCACAAAACATTCTCCTTTCCTTCTGAAGGTTTCACGATGCATTGTTATCATTAACCAGTCTTTCACTATTAAACCTAAATGGCCAATTGACACAAACAGTTCTGAGACTGTTCTTCCACCACTGATTAAGACTGGGGTGGCAGGTATTGGGGATAATATTCACTTAGCCTTCTCAGCTTTCTGGGCAGACTTGGTGACCTTGCCACCTCCAGCTGCCTTCTTGTCCATTGCTCTGATGACATCCACAGCAACTGTCTGTCTCATGTCACGAACAGCAAAACGGCCCAGAGGAGGATAGTCAGAGAAGCTCTCAACACACATAGGGGCTTGCCAGGAACCATATCAACAATGGCAGCATTACCAGATTTCAAGAACTTGGGACCATCTTCCAGCTTTTTTCCAGAACGACGATCTATCTTCTCCTTCAGCTCAGCAAACTTGCAAGCAAGCAATGTGAGCTGTGTGACAATCCAGCAGAGGTGCATATCCAACGCTGACTTGGCCTGGATGGTTCAGGATAATCACCTGAGCCGT